GAAGGCTTGAGGGCTTGAAGGCTTGAAGGCTTGAAGGCTTGAAGGCTTGAAGGCTTGAAGGCTTGAAGGCTTGAGGGCTTGAAGGCTTGAAGGCTTGAAGGCTTGAAGGCTTGAAGGCTTGAAGGCTTGAGGGCTTGAAGGCTTGAAGGCTTGAGGGCTTGAAGGCTTGAAGGCTTGAAGGCTTGAAGGCTTGAAGGCTTGAAAGCTTGAAGGCTTGAAGGCTTGAAGGATTGGGGGCTTGAGGGCTTGAGGGCTTGAGGGCTTGAGGGCTTGAGGGCTTGAGGGCTTGAAGGCTTGAAGGCTTGAGGGCTTGAGGGCTTGAAGGCTTGAGGGCTTGAAGGCTTGAGGGCTTGAAGGCTTGAAGGCTTGAAGGCTTGAAGGCTTGAAGGCTTGAGGGCTTGAAGGCTTGAAGGCTTGAAGGCTTGAAGGCTTGAAGGCTTGAGGGCTTGAAGGCTTGAAGGCTTGAAGGCTTGAAGGCTTGAAGGCTTGAAGGCTTGAAGGCTTGAAGGCTTGAATGCTTGAAGGCTTGAAGGCTTGAAGGCTTGAAGGCTTGAAGGCTTGAAGGCTTGAAGGCTTGAAGGCTTGAGGGCTTGAGGGCTTGAAGGCTTGAAGGCTTGAAGGCTTGAAGGCTTGAAGGCTTGAAGGCTTGAAGGCTTGAGGGCTTGAAGGCTTGAAGGCTTGAAGGCTTGAAGGCTTGAAGGCTTGAAGGCTTGAAGGCTTGAAGGGTTGAAGGCTTGAAGGCTTGAAGGCTTGAGGGCTTGAGGGCTTGAGGGCTTGAGGGCTTGAGGGCTTGAGGGCTTGAGGGCTTGAGGGCTTGAGGGCTTGAGGGCTTGAAGGCTTGAAGGCTTGAGGGCTTGAGGGCTTGAAGGCTTGAGGGCTTGAGGGCTTGAGGGCTTGAAGGCTTGAAGGCTTGAACGCAGCAGAGCGTGCTAGCAACGCAGCAGAGCGTGCTAGCAAAGCAGCAGAGAGCTAGCAATGCAGCATAGCGTGCTAGCAACGCAGCAGAGCGTGCTAGCAACGCAGCAGAGCGTGCTAGCAACGCAGCTGAGCGTGCTAGCAACGCAGCAGAGCGTGCTAGCAACGCAGCAGAGCGTGCTAGCAACGCAGCAGAGCGTGCTAGCAACGCAGCAGAGCATGCTAGTAAAGCAGCAGAGCGTGCTAGCAACGCAGCAGAGCGTGCTAGCAACGCAGCAGAGCGTGCTAGCAACGCAGCAGAGCGTGCTAGCAACGCAGCAGAGCGTGCTAGCAACGCAGCAGAGCGTGCTAGCAACGCAGCTGAGCGTGCTAGCAACGCAGCAGAGCATGCTAGCAACGCTGAAGAGTGTGCTAGCAACGCAGCAGAGCGTGCTAGCAACGCAGCAGAGCGTGCTAGCAACGCAGCAGAGCGTGCTAGCAACGCAGCAGAGCGTGCTAGCAACGCAGCAGAGCGTGCTAGCAACGCAGCAGAGCGTGCTAGCAACGCAGCTGAGCGTGCTAGCAACGCAGCAGAGCGCTAGCAACGCAGCAGAGCGCTAGCATCGCAGCTGAGCGTGCTAGCATTGCAGCTGAGCGTGCTAGCAACGCAACTGAGAGTGCTGGCAACGCAGCAGAGCGTGCTAGCAACGCAGCTGAGCGTGCTAGCAACGCAGCAGAGCGTGCTAGCAACGCAGCTGAGCGTGCTAGCAACGCAGCAGAGCGTGCTAGCAACGTAGCTGAGCGTAATAGCAACGCAGCAGAGCGTGCTAGCAACGCAGCAGAGCGTGCTAGCAACGCTGCAGAGCGTGCTAGCAACGCAGCAGAGCGTGCTAGCAACGCAGTGGAGCGTGCTAGCTATGAAGGAGAGCGTGCTAGCAACGAAGGAGAGCGTGCTAGCAACGCAGCAGAGCGTGCTAGCAACGCAGCAGAGCGTGCTAGCAACGCAGCTGAGCGTGCTAGCAACGCAGCAGAGCGCTAGCAACGGAGCTGAGCGCTAGCAACGCATCTGAGCGTGCTAGCATTGCAGCTGAGCGTGCTAGCAACGCAGCTGAGCGTGCTAGCAACGCAGCAGAGCGTGCTAGCAACGCAGCTGAGCGTGCTAGCAACGCAGCTGAGCGTGCTAGCAACGCAGCAGAGCGTGCTAGCAACGCAGCAGAGCGTGCTAGCAACGCAGCAGAGCGTGCTAGCAACGCAGCAGAGCGTGCTAGCAACGCAGCAGAGCGTGCTAGCAACGCAGCAGAGCGTGCTAGCAACGCAGCAGAGCGTGCTAGCAACGCAGCAGAGCGTGCTAGCAACGCAGCTGAGCGTGCTAGCAACGCAGCAGAGCGTGCTAGCAACGCAGCTCAGCGTGTGAAGGTGCCACGTTGGAGGCCGTTTGTCACGATATTACAATGTTCCAATTTTATTACATTGTGCCACATATACTAGCTAGTCTACAATGGTACATAGAGATTTATTACATCGTATGTCATCATTGCACCGTCGGATCGTTGCGCCGTTGCATTGTTACCTCGTTGCGTCGTTACGTCGCAGCGCCGCTCAATCATTACGCCACTCGATCGTTGCGCCATTGCGTTGTAGCGATTTATTACATCCATAAGCTAGCTAAATCTACTAGGTTATCAATTATTTTTTTCCTCTTTAGATTAGCTTCTCTTAGTATTATTATGTTTTTCTATGATCTCATTGAACAATCTATTTTTATAACAATTGGTTTCAATCATTTTAACGGATTGATAAAGGAATTTATTTGAAATTTACTTATACCTCTTAACGGTTTTATATTCTCACGATGTCAATCACGATGCTCACGATGCTAGTCACGATGCTCGCTAGTCACGATGCTCGCTGGTCACGATGCTCGCTAGTCACGATGCACGGTAGTTACGATGCTCGCTGGTCACGATGCTCGCTGATCACGATGCTCGCTAATCACGATGCTCGCTGGTCACGATGCTCGCTAGTCACGATGCTCGCTAGTCACGATGCTTGCTGGTCACGATGCTCGCTAGTCACGATGCTCGCTGGTCACGATGCTCGCTAGTCACGATGCTCGCTGGTCACGATGCTCGCTAGTCACGATGCTCGCTGGTCACGATGCTCGCTAGTCACGATGCTCGCTGGTCACGATGCTCGCTAGCCACAATGCTCGCTGGTCACGATGCTCTCTAGTCACGTTGCTAGTTTGTCACGATGCTCGCTAGTCACGATGCTCGCTAGTCACGATGCTCGCTAGTCACGATGCTCGCTGGTCACGATGCTCGCTAGTCACGATGCTCGTTTGTCACGATATTACAATGTTCCAATATTACTACAATGTGCCACATATACTAGCTAGTCTAAAATGGAACATACATTATTATATGTAGTATTTCTAGTAAATGCAGATCCGCCATTGAGTCGTTGCGCTGTTGCGATTTATTACATCGTATGTCATCATTGCACCGTCGGATCGTTGCGCCGTTGCGTTGTTGCCTCGTTGCGTCGCTGCGCCGCTCAATCATTACGCCGCTCGATTGTTGCGACATTGCGTTGTAGCGATTTATTGCATCCATATGCTAGCCAGGGTTCTCGTTATCAGACCAATTTGGTCTGATGGTCTGAGTTTAAGACTTGTTTTTTTGTATTCATCTGCTTCCTAAGAATCTGTGTTTGTTCTCATCTGATCAGTAAGATAAGAGTTTTAGGTGGTTTCGTCTGAAACCGACATCTTGACCCACTAGGCCATATGCCCAGTGGACCAGAGGATAGGACCACAGGTACAGCCATTTGCTGCCCTGTAACAGCACGCGCATTCATTACGCGTGTCTTATAGCAGCCTCGCTGTCATGTAACTGCGGCATATGCTGCCAGGAGTTTGTTATCAGACTAGAAAATTTATTCCAGCTTATGATGCAGACCACGGAAGTTTCGTCGTCCGAGCATAAGACGGGGGAAATTTTTTTCAGAGTACTGTCAGACAGCCCCTAAACCTAGCGAGAGCCCTGATGCTAGCTAAATCTACTATGTTATCATTTTTTTTTCATCTTTAGATTAGCTTCTCTTAGTATTATTATGTTTTTCTATGATCTCATTGAACAATCTATTTTTAGAATAATTGGTTTCAATCATTTTAACGGATTGATAAAGGAATTTATTTGAAATTTACTTATACCTCTTAACGGTTTTATATTCTCACGATGTCAATCACGATGCTCACGATGCTAGTCACGATGCTCGCTAGTCACGATGCTCGCTGGTCACGATGCTCGCTAGTCACGATGCTCGGTAGTCACGATGCTCGCTGGTCACGATGCTCGCTGATCACGATGCTCGCTAATCACGATGCTCGCTGGTCACGATGCTCGCTGGTCACGATGCTCGCTAGTCACGATGCTCGCTGGTCACGATGCTCGCTGGTCACGATGCTCGCTAGTCACGATGCTCGCTGGTCACGATGCTCGCTAGTCACGATGCTCGCTGGTCACGATGCTCGCTAGTCACGATGCTCGCTGGTCACGATGCTCGCTAGTCACGATGCTCGGTAGTCACGATGCTCGCTAGTCACGATGCTCGCTAGTCACGATGCTCGTTTGTCACGATATTACAATGTTCCAATATTACTACAATGTGCCACATATACTAGCTAGTCTAAAATGGAACATACATTATTATATGTAGTATTTCTAGTAAATGCAGATCCGCCATTGAGTCGTTGCGCTGTTGCGATTTATTACATCGTATGTCATCATTGCACCGTCGAGTCGTTGCGCCGTTGCGTTGTTGCCTCGTTGCGTCGTTGCGTCGCTGCGCCGCTCAATCATTACGCCGCTCGATCGTTGCGCCATTGCGTTGTAGCGATTTATTACATCCATAAGCTAGCTAAATTTACTAGGCTATCAATCTATTTTTTTTCATCTTTAGATTAGCTTCTCTTAGTATTATTATGTTTTTCTATGATCTCATTGAACAATCTATTTTTAGAATAATTGGTTTCAATCATTTTGACAGCTCCTGCTGACTGGACCCGCATCCAGTGCAGGGTCCGACGGCCCTAACAGGCACTCTTAAAATGGTGGACTAATTGTTGGAGGCGTTTCCACAAAGAGAGAGTCTGTCAAATGGCAAAAGTACTTGTAAATCACGTTCCACAGCTGCTCCTCCTCTATAGGCTTTGACAAGAAGCCGTTCATGCCAGACTCGATGCACTTCTCCCGAGTCCCTGCAAAGATGTCCGCTGTTAGTGCAAATATCGGAGTCTGTGAGAGCCTGTACTTCGCTTCTTGCCTGCGAATTTGCCTTGTGGCTTCGAATCCGTCCATACCCGGCATCTGGATGCAGTGAGGGCAGAAAGAAACATGGATTTGTGAGGTGGGGGGTGACAAGCATACAGTAGCTAGCAGTAAAGTGCTGCCCAGGCTGCAGCCCCAGCGGTGCAGCGGGCATGCAGAGAAGGCGGAGAGCTGACCTGGACGTCCATGAGGATGCAGTGGAAGGCGTGGCCCGGCACCACCTTGGCCACGGCCACAGCACCCCCCACGACAGGCACCACGTGCACCTTGTATCGCTCCAGCATCTTGGCTATCACCTTGCGATTCACCATGTTGTCGTCCACCTGCACACCCACACCACACCACACCACACCACACCACATTACACATACGAACGGGGCAGTAGTGCACTCAACCCAGTGCCACTGGTGCTTAGGCCTTACATGTCCAAGCAGCTGCAATGAGTCCAACAGAAACTCACCACCAGAAAGTGCTTGCCATGCAGCACTGCAGTGAGCATCTGAGTCAGCGACTGTGGGGCACGCTCAGCCACCCTCCTCGCCCTGGGACTCGCCACCGCCGCACTGCTGCCACCCCGCCCTTCCACCGCCACTCTCCTCTCGCCACCACTCCTCTCTCCTGCCTCCACCTGCTTCAGATGCATCTCCTTGTTTCCGCTCCTTCCCGTGAGCGTGACAGGGAAGAGAGCCATGTCTGACTCCACAGATGCTCCTCCATCCACTCTCTCTGCTTCGCCTGCACCTGCCCCACATGCATCCTCTGCCCCACAGGCATCCTCTGCCCCACATGCATCCTCTGCCCCACATGCATCCTCTGCCCCGTTGTCCACCACAACCACGTATTCGTGCTCCCCACCCATCACGCCTCTGAAATCATCAGGACTTGACACTTCTGTCCCTCTCCTTCCTTCAGATCCTCCTTCCCCTCGCCTACCCAAGGTGCCCTGCCCGCCCTCTGCGCCCTGTGCACTGCTGCTGCTGCCCCCGCCGCTGCCGTGCTTGGCGGCCTGCAGCAGCGCGCCCACGAGGGCGGCGCGGCGGATGGGTTTCAGCAGCGTGGCGTGGAAGCCCGCCTGGGCGGCCACGCTCTCCATGCTCGGCTCGCGCACCAGCAGCACCATGCGCCATGCACCCATGCCCATGCCCATGCCATTGCCCATGGCCATACCCATACCCGCACTCAACTTCAACCCCGTGCCCGTGTCCGCATCCGTGCCTGAACCTGTGCCTGTGCCTGTCCCTGTGCCTGTGCCCCTGGAAACTGCACTGGCTAGAGCACTACTCCCACCAACCCCCGCTGCATCACGATGCTCCTCATCAACCCTCTCACTCCCTCCACTTTCCTGTTGCAACGGCTGCACAGGAAGTGAATGCTTCACATGTTGCTGCTGCTGCTCTTGCTCCTGCTCCTGCTGGTCCTGCTGCTGTGACTGCCACTGTGAACTCAGCTTCTTCTCATGTGCTTCTTGCTGCTGTTGCCTCTGTTCCCCCAATCGCTGTTGCTGCTGTGGCCACTCCCCCACTCCTTGCTCTTGTTGCTGCTGTTCCTCCACTCCCCCCGGCTGTTGCTGCTGTCGGCTGGTCCAGAAGGCAGCAGCAGTGGCCATGGCAGCAGCGCTTGTCAGCACGCCACTGCCTCCCCCGCCGCCACCTGCCATGGCGCCACTGCCAGCGCCACTGCTGCCGTCGGGGCTCTCCACGCTGCCAGCAGGGGAGGGGGGCGTGGCAGACGCCAGTGTGCCGAGGGCGGGTGTGGCAGCCCCGTCAGAGGCTGCCAGGGGCCCACAGAACTGTGGCGACTCGTCTCCTGCCCTCCCCGGCGACGACGGGTGGACGGGTGTCATCTCGCTGCCTGCACGCACAATGCGCGCTGCGCACTCCACTCCACCTGCCCCATCACGCCCCACACCTGCCCCTGCCTCTGCCTCTGCCTCCGCCCCTGCAACATCCCCCCACGCCCCATCACCATCCCTGCCCGTGCCCAAGCCTGCCATTCCAACCCCAGGCTCGCCCCCCTCGCCCCGCTTTCCCTCATGTGTGCGCGCAGGTGGCGTGGGCAATGAGTGGCGCCAGGCGCGGGCATGGCGGGCGAGTGTCTCAGCGTCCACCAGCAGGAACGCACTGCCCGCTGGGGGGCCCGCCCCGCCGCCACCCGCACTGCCTGCTGCTGTGCTCGCTGCGCCTGCCGTCACTCCTGCGGCAACAGATGGCCCGGCATGTGAGGGGGGAGCCACACCACTCTCATGCCCCGCCAGCGATGCTGCTGCCACTCCTGGCAGTGCAGGGGGCACCACGCCCACCACTGCCAGTGGGCCCGAGGAGGTTGGGGTAGCTTGGGGGGGAGTGGCAGGAGCAGGCGGGGCAGGAGGGGAGGGGGACAGTGGCAGGGCGGGGAGTGGGGGGAGGTCCTCCCAGCGGCGAGCGAGGAGCACGTTGAGCCTGAGGCGGCGCAGATACGTGGCTGTGACGGCGCGCCTCACAGCCCGGTCGTCCAGCACCACCGCTGTGCACCCCTGTGCACCAGGCGAGCAGGAGGGGCGGGCATGCATGGAGGGACAGTGAATGCACGGAGGCACAGTGAATGCATAGAGACACGGTAATTGCGCTCGCTGCAAGGCAGACTGTCACTCCTGTGACCAGTGCCACTGATATGGGCTGCCAACACCGAATAAGGTCCTCACGCTGACACAGCAAGCAGCCTCGCACGCACCTGAAGGTCAGAGACACGAGAGGCAAGTGCGGGGGCACTTCTTCTCTTGCTGGCGGCAGCAGGAGCAGCAGCGGCGGGGGCGTCATGGGAGGGGTCTGGGGGGTTCTCAAAGGGCAGCGTGATGTCAAAGAAGAAGGTGGTGCCCACGCCCGGCCGGCTCACAAACGCCAGCTTGCCGCCCATCAGCGCCACCAGGTGCTGCGAGATGGACAGACCGATGCCCGTGCCGCCGTGTGTGCGCGTCGTGCTGATATCCGCCTGCACGTACGGCCGAAACAGACGAGGCTGCGCCGGCCACGGTATGCCGTGCCCCGTGTCCTGCCAGCATGCAGTGGGGGTGATGAGAGCAGAGGCAATCACAGTAGCTTCAGTCACAGTGCCTTGGTCACACCATATTCACCGCATGCCAGTGTCTGTGAAACAAGGCATATATCACTTCATATCACAGCATGCCACTGGCTTTATTGCACCACGAACCACTGATTGACTCCTTGGCACAGGACACCAGCGGTTCATGTCCCTACCAGCAGTGCGCTGCTCACCTCAACGGACACCACCAGCCGCACCATCCCACTCTGTGCTTCACCTCCGCCTTGCTCCCCCGCCCTGCCCGCAGCCCCACCACTGCTGTGCGGCCCAGCAGGCGTGCACTGCAGGTGGCCGGGGGGCGGGCCTGCCTGGGGGGGGCGCTCCATGAGTGCCTGGATGCGCGCCCAGCTGTTGCAGCTCTCCACCGCCTCCACTCCACTCAGCGTCTCAAACTCCCCCTGCCTCGCCCTCCGCCCCTGCCTCTGCCCCTGCCCCATCTCTTTGTTCTGCAGCTGCCCCGTTTGCCCCTGCCCCTGCCCATCACTGCCTGTCTCTGCGCCCATCTGACCAACCGCCTCGACTCGAGCCTGCGTGACGCCGCCGGAGAAGCCCCCATCAATCATCTCCCCTGCGCCCGCCTCACCGGAACACTGGTCCTTCTCCCCGTGTACCTCTCCCTCCCATGCATCTGAGTCACCTCCGCCCAACCTGCGAGTTTCCTCTCCGCCCTCCCCACTCCTGCCATTTGCCGGTTGTGTTGTTCCAGGCGCTGCACCCGGCGCTGTCCCAGCACCCGGCGCTGTCCCAGCACCCGGCGCTGTCCCAGCACCCGGCGCTGTCCCAGCACGCGCACTCACTTCTCCCCGTGCACCACCTGCATCCGCCACTACGGTCTTGCCACCACCACCACCACCAGCAGCAGGCGCAGTCATCACTGCACTTGCGGCAGCACCTCCAGCTGGGGCAGGGGTGGAGCTCCACCCGCCTCCTGCTGCACCCGCACCATCGGCACCGGGTGTGTTAGTAACTGCAGCGGCGCTGGTGCTGGGAGCAGCGCGGTCGGAGTCGGCAAGGGAGGTGCGGGCGAGGGAGCGGGCGTCGGCAAAGTGGGCGCCGGGGACGGCGAGGTGGTCGTGCGGGGCGGCGGTGCGCACGGTGATGAGCACGTGGCCGCGCGCCGTGAACTTGCAGCTGTTGGACAGCAGGTTGATCAGCACCTGCCGCAGCCGCAGCGCGTCGCCCAGCACAAACGTGGGCACGGCGTCGTGCACGAGCGCGGCCACCTCGACCTGCGGCTTGTTGCGCGTGCGCTCCACAAACATGCTCAGCACGTCGTCTATCTCCGCCCTCACGTCCACCCTCATGCTCTCCAACTCCATCCGCCCCGCCTGCCCTCATCCCCGCGTGCACGCGCCCACCACACACACCCATGGAGGGAGGGGAGGGGGGGAGAAGGGGCATGATAGCGCAGGGAAGGAACCATTAGAGCAGGAATTGAGATATAGGGAGGAGAGCGACTTGATCGTGATGGATGAATGCAGCCACTCGGTTCGATGGTGGTGTCATTCTGTGCCGAGTCGATGGCATGCTGTGTGCAGGCGTGAGTTAGGGAAGTGTTGCAAGTATGGAGCAGAGTGGAGGCGTGTGGTGCAGTGCGGAGCACGTGGGTGTGGAGTGAGAGGGACACGCGGGTGTGGGGTGCGAGCGGCATGTGGGTGTGGGGTGCGGGAGTGTGGGGCCCAGCGCACCTCGATCTTGGAGAGGTCGAGGATGTCGTTGATGAGGGAGCAGAGCGCCCTGCCGCTGGTGCGCGCCGTCTCCACGTAGTCCAGCTGCACCGCGTCCAACGGCGTCTGCAGCAGCAGGTTCAGCATGCCTGTCAACCATGCCCGGGGGGGGGAAGGGGAGGGTGAGGGGAAGGGAAGGGAAGGTGGGGAAGGGTAAAAACGGAAGCATCATTGGACTACACATCAGAGGTTGCAAACATGCAGCCATTCGTGCATGCATGCAGTGACCCATGGATTTCGGGTTTAGGGTTGCACAATCCAGTGCTCGGAGGCAGCGTGGGCACAGCACAGCATAGCACAGAACAGCGCAGCAGAGCAGAGCAGCGGACAGCAGAGCAGAGCGCACGCACCGATGACGCCGTTCATGGGAGTGCGGATCTCATGGCTCATGGTGGCGAGGAAGGTGCCCTTGGCGCGGCTGGCGGCCTCGGCAGCGACGCGGCGCGCATCTGCTCCTTGAGAGCTGCCATGCGCTGCAGGTCGCCCTCCACGCGCACCACCTCGCCCGCCACCACATACACCACCGCCACCACCAGCGCTGCTCCCGCCACCGCCACACACGGCCACACCACCGCCATGTACGGGAACGGCCGTGACTGGTACCTGCGCCCACGGGCACGCACGGGACACGCGGGACACAGACCATGGGGGCAAGGTGCAGGGCGCAGGGGACGAGGGGCAAAATAAACTTGAAGAACAGGAGGGGGAACGGAAGGGACGCGGAGGGGATGTTGCAGGTGTGAGGAGAGACACTGATAAGGAGCGGAGAGCAAAGCAAGGTACAACAGGGTGCGGGGCGGTGGTACCTGCAGGCGAGGGTGTACTGGCGACCCACTGCCGGCAGAGGCACGACGTGCGCTGCAGGGAAGGACGAGGGCGCCTCAGGCACGGCGGGGGGCTGCAGCGGGGGATACTGGGCGAGGACGAGCGTGGTGGTGGGGGCGGTGGTGTCCTGCAGCTGCAGCTGCAGCGCCGCTGACCCACAGCTGCTGCTGCCGCTGGATGGCGCCTGCAACAGGGGGAGAAAGGGGGGAGAGGGAGAGAGGGGCAGGAGCAGGAGGCGGGCAGCACATGGATGATGATGTGGGGGATGCGAAGTGCAAGTTGGGCAGCTCGGCTTAAACTGCCATGTTGAGACAAGAGGAGCAGTGGGAGCACGGGTGAGAGGAGGCATGGCATGAGGCGGGGATGGAAGTACCTGAGAGAGCTGCGAGAGGGCGAGCTGCATGTCAGCCACTGCAAATACGAATCCAATCACTGCTGCCTGCATCTCGTCTGACGTGGCGTTGGGCGGCACGGCTCGTCCATACACGGGCACTGATGCCACCACTGCTCTCCGCTGCTGCTCCGCTGGCCACTCAGCTGCTGCTGCTGCTGCTGCTGCTGCTGCTGCTGCTGCTGCTGCTGCTGCTGCTGCTGCTGCTGCTGCTGCCAATGACGACGAGAAAGATGTATTAGCAGGGAACGACCATGATTGGTCGCTGCTGCTGCTGCTGCCGCTGCTGGTGGTGGTCGAAGAGGAGGATTTGATGGTGGTGGGTGAGGGGGAAGAGGTGGGCACGGAGGAGGAGTTGTCAGGGAAGGGGAAGCGAGGGGCGAAGGGCGGGGAGAGGGTGCAGGGCAGGCGGGCCGAGAGGGCGGAGAGCGATGAGACGGCAACCGCGGGGCCCAGCTGGGGGACTGTATGGAAGAGGGGGAGGGGGGTGGGCATCCGCAGGTGCAGGTTAAAAGGAGGGGAGCTGACTTTTGGCGTGCAGGGTTTGTGCTTCAGCAAATGTGCAATGCTGGTGCTGACTGTGGGAGAGGCATTTCTATGAAGCTCGTAGCGAGTCGGGTGTGCGCTTTGGCATGGGTGGCTGGCAGGCAACGGCACAGACGACTCGATCCAAACTGATGGCATGAGGTAGTTTCTGCATATAGTAGCAACAACCACACCAACAGACACGTTTTAAAATCACAGCCCGCACCACCCACCCTTTCCCCCCTCTTCACCACACACACCAGAAAGCATGTCCAGTCCCACATACGCCGCCCCCACGCCACTCCTGCTGCTGTTGGCGGTGGCGAGGTGAGAGAGGATGGTGGCGAGGGTGGGCGAGTAGTGGAGCAGCGGCAGGTAGTGCTGCTGCTGAGGCGCGCACTCTCCACTCACATTCCTGAACGCGTACATGCATGCAGGGCGGACAGCAAACAGAGTGCAGAGGGCAGGCGGAGGGTGAGCATAGGGCGGAGGTCCGGGAATGGTGTGCACGTGGACGGTTGGGCAGCACGGAGCTACTGGGGGGGGGAGGCGACAAGGTGAGGAGGGAGAGAATGTGAGGGGAGGAGAGAATGTGAAGAGAAGAGAGGATGCAAAAGCGGGAGAGACTGAGGGGTGGAGGGGAATGTGACTGGAGGGAGGAGAGAATGTGAGGGGTGGTGACTGTACGGGTTACATAAATCAAGTGCGAGATGATGTGGCACGAGGGGACAAGGATGGGGTTGCGTATGATAGGGGGCCGCACACGCACCAGATGCAGGTGGCGTTGAGGAAGCTGTTCTGGACGGCGCCGCGCGAGGAGTGGTTGAGCGAGAGCGCATACCCCATGGCGCTCGCCCCCTGCCCCCACCCACTCGCCCCCGCGTCTGCTGCAGCGGCGAGAGGGGCCGGGGGAGGGAAGGCGAGCAGCGGGCGCGTGTAGTCGGTGGCGGCCACCAGGCGCGTAAACGCCGCCTGCTGCGCTCCCCGCGTGCAGGGGGCAAGCAGAGGGGAGAGTGGTCGCGCCGATGAGCAATCAGCAACCAACAACGAGCAACGAGCAACCAAGCGATTGAGCAAGCAGCAAGCAGCAACGAGCAACGAGCAATCTAGGTAGGAGGCGCTGCCACAGTAGCTGAAGCAACAGCGGATGACGGGAGCCGCTCCATGTAACGAGGCGCTCCAATGCAGTGGCAGCACGTGGCAGCATGCGTACCTGGTCCACCGCCGCGTGCAGCACTGTGAGCGTGTCTCCCAGCGCGCGCACCCCTCCCAGCGATGCTTGTAGTGCACTGCCCAACTCGTGCGCCCACAACGCACACTGCGATGACAGAGACTCCTGCACGGCGCGCAGCACAACGCACGTGCAGTGGACACCGCATCACACACAGCAGCACCACATCACACACAGCACATCACACACAGCAGCACCGCATCTCACACAGCACATCACACACAGAAGCACCACATCCCACAAACCGTTAAGATCATGCAACAGAGACGGCCGACACATGACAATGCAATCCAGAGTGTCACGATACACTGCTCCCAGCATCGTCCAAACCCCTTCGCCCAACCCCCTCCTGCCCCAGCCCTGTTGCCCAGCCCGCCCTCCAACGGAGCCCTTGTGCGTGCGAGGCGGCACGCGCGCGGCACCTGGTAGGAGGCGAGGTGGAGGAAGTACACCAGGCAGAACAGCCCTGCCGCCACCGCCGCGCACGCCGCCGACGCGCACAGCAGCACCGCGCGCCGCCGAGCCACCAGAAACGCCAGCGTCGGCGCCACAAACGGACACGCGCTCCGCGACGCCTGCTCGCCCTCTTTGTCGGCTCCCCCCAACCCCGCGCCTCCGCTCCCCCCATCCACTGCTCCGCTGCCGCCGCCTCCGCTGGCCGTCCGCGGCACCAGCGGGGCTTCCGCCATGCTGCCCGGCGGTCGTTTGGGCTCGGGGGACCGGCGGAGCGCCGGGAGCTTCACATAGTGGCGCCTCTTAAAGCCCGTTGCCTTGACACGAAGCGGTTCCGTCTCGGTATCCATGGACTCCCGTCACGCTACCACTTCCCATCGACTTAAATCACGCATCGGATATGGACATCGGTCACGCATGGGCTATGGACATCCGTCCAGGTCTGTCTAACGCAGACCCGGACACGGTTACGCGTGGATACCCCACACCTATCGCACGCTGCCGCTGCCCCACGCGCGACGAGAGAGGCAAAGAGAGAGCAGGGCGGGAAAGAGAAAGAGGAGAGAAGGTAGAGGAGGTTGTAAGGGGTGGAGGCGGGGGGGATGGGAGGAGAGTGCGCAAGCACCATCGAACGGAAGCGAGCGCTGTCGAAAGTACGCGCGGAGAGAAGGGCAGGCTGAGTTGCTGTCGTGGTGGTGCGGATATCGCGGCGCTGAGCTTGGTGTTGTCGCCCTTGTCAGCAGCAACCAGTGGAAAAGGTGTCAACAACTCGAATCACAAATAGGCTTCCAATGCTTTTGAAAATGCACCACACACTATCCCTTTGTACCGAACTCGCCACTGGCCTGCAGTTGGGACGAATTGGGCAGGTAGGAGAGGGGAGGGGAGGAGGAGGGGAGGGGAAGGGCGGAGGGGTGAAGAGAGGAGGGGAGAAGGGGTGTGCGGGTCGTGCGTGATTCAACGCGCAGCCGAAGCCAAAAGTATCTCAGCATCATCACGTCACTTGCGGTCACGTGATTTTGATCGCAACCCTCGGGTCACCCGGTGGACGCTCACCGTCGTCCGATCCAATCACGATTTGGAGGGGTGACTTTTGCCAGGCTGAAGCGGTTGAGTGCGATGCTGTGGCACTCTAGAACGGTTTCTCGCAGCAGCGCGAATATTCACAGGTGACACGCATCACCCAATCCAATCCATTAGCACCTCCAAAAATGCATGCAACAGGCAGACAGCAAAGCAGCCCAGCCCGCCTGAACCACAGCCAGTCATAGCCCTAGTTTTCCTGCCTGCACGGATACGAGTTACCCTCGCACATCTGTCCACATCCTCGCCTCGCACCACCCCATGGCGCGCACCTCGTTTCACACGTCTCGTTCCTTCCTCTCATCGCCTGCGCCGTACAGTCGCGCGGATGGTTGCGGCATCCGCCGTACTGCTATGTGAGGTACCGCCGAGCACCGTCAGCGCGCCGTGCAGCGCGGGGACAGAGCGCACCGAGCTCCGCGACCTCATGTCGTCCCCCGCTCGCCCACCGCTCGACTCCTCTCCGCTTGTCGGCGCGGACAATCCGCCTGCATTGCGCGTGCCGTGCACGCAGGAGAGGCAGGAGGCGCAGGAGGCGCAGGGTGCGCAGGAGCGGCTGGAGGCGCAGGAGCGGCTGGAGGCGCAGGAGCGGCTGGAGGCGTTGTGGCAGGAGGTGGAGGAGAGCGACAGCACGCGCAGCCTGCGGTCGCCCAGCGATGCGTCGCCCGCTGCGACCTCGTCGCCCCGCCGCCTTGCCAGCGGCAGCTTCACCAATCGCCGCGTTCGCTCGCTGTGGTCGGCGGGGTCGCCGCTCTCGTCGCCGCAGCAGGCGCGCAGCGCGCGTCACACGCGCCAGTGGTCGGCGGCGGCCGTACCCTTCTCCTTCTCCTTCTCCTCCCCGCTCCACCCCTCCGCGCTCCCTGCGGACGCCCAGTCGTCACCACGGCATCCCCTCACTCCCACGGCGGACGGCAAGGCGCAGGCGCACGGGGACGGGGAGGTGCGAGCGGAAGCGGAGCGGGCGGCGGGGCACAAGCCGTCCAAGTCGGCGGGGTCGCTGCCGTTCCTCCAGCTGGGGCAGTGGTCGCGCTCCTCCCCCAACCTCCGCTCCCCCATCAGCCCCCCCGCCGCTCCCACCTCCCCGTCGGATACCGCCTGGTCGCTTCCCGCCTTCGCCAAGTCGGTAACCCTACGCTCTTCGCCCAGGTCCACCACTTCGCCCAGAGCCGCCGCAGCGTCGGTGGCGCGCGCTGTATCGGCGACGAGCGCCGAGGCGCCGGATATTCTGGAAAGCCGCACCTTCGACCCAATCGCGTCGCCCGTTGCGCTCGCCGCCGCCCCGCCTGCGTCGCTCTCTGACGCGCGCAGGTCGGCGGAAGCGGAGGTTGCGGGTGGCGGTGGGAGCAGCCCGTTGCGGGGCGGCGGATGGCGCAAGCCCGTGGCGGGCGGGAGGCGCAGCGAGGGCGGAAAAGAGCAGACAGTGACTGCTGAGATGGGGGAGGGCGCGGGGGAGAGGGCGAGTGCAGGGGAAGAGGACAAGGGGTGGGCGTCTGGCAGTGGGCGGGGCAGCAGATGGCGCGCCAAGGCAGCCCTGCCGCAGCTGAACGTGCGCCGCACCTCCGTCGCCAGCCTGCAGCCCAGCACGCAGCAGAGCGCGCAGCAGAGCGCGCAGCAGCAGGCGCTCAAAGTGCTGCACCAGCGCTGCCCGCCCTTGTCGCCCTCCACCTCCCCCCACGCCTCCCCCAAACTCTCTCCCAACGCTCCTTCCAACGACCCCGCAGCAGCATCCGCCAAGTCGCTCCTGAGGTCGCCGCGCTCCCCCTGTGCGGCGGCGGCAGCAGCAGTAGCAGCGTCGCCGCGGTCGCAGGTGGTGGTGGTGCGGAGCTTCGTGGAGCACCGCAGGCGAGTGGCGGAGGCGGAACAGCGAGAGGCCGCGGAGCTGGGGGAGGCAGCGGTGGGAGGGCGCGCGGACCCGGAGGGCAGGCGGGGAGGCGTGAGTTGGAATGGGGCAGTGCAGAGCACGGACGAGGCGGCAGCAGCAGGGGGTGCAGAGGGGGAGGCAGCAGAAGGTTCGGGGATCCAGCAGGGGAGTGGCAGGGGGGCGGACAGGTTGGCGCCTGGCGTGGCGGGCACAGCGGGCGTGCAGCGCGGGGAAGAGCGGATGGACGCGGGCATGACACAGGCCGGTGGGCACGTGCGCGGTGGGGGTGAGGGCGAGCAGCTGCGCGTGCAGGCGACTGTGGGAGGTGGCAGTCCGCCAGCGAGCAGCGCGGGTGGGAGAGGGGCAGGTGGGCACGGGGAGCGAGGCAGGGAGGAGGAGCAGGTCAGAGCGGTTCTAAGTGCGAGGCAGCAGCAGCGAGCGCAGTGGCTGCAGCAGCAGGAGTGGCAAGAGCAGGAGGGAATGCAGCGAAGCAGATCCAAGGAAGGTGCGACGGTACAGTGGGCGCCCCTCCCCACCACCACCCACTCCCCTCCCGTTCCCCGCCAAGCTTCCCCCCTCCCCGCCCCGTGCTTCCCCTCCTCTCCGATGGGGCTCTCTCCCCCCACCGCCCTCTCACAGCCTCGCCCTGCCCGGCGCCCAGCGACCTCTACCCCTCATCCCAGCAGGAGTGGCTCACAGCGGATGATGGCACGGCGAGGCACAGGCAGGCGAAGGAGGCGAGGCAGGAGAGGCGGGGCGAGAGGGGCCATGGTGACGATGCAGGCAGCGTGAATGCCATGTCTGCCAGCTTCCACAGCCACTCCTCTCCGCCGTCCAAGCCACCTCAAAGCCCCCGACCTGCTGTGAGCCCCAAGCCACGCTCGCACGCACCGCGCAGCTCTGTGAGCCTTGGCAGCCTTGCCTCCCCTCGGGGCACTGCCCCGCCCCACGCCCTTGACCCCGCCCACCGCCCTGCTGCCAGCCCCTCCCACCCCCTCCGCTCCTCCAACCCCTTGGTCCCTCCACTCTCTCTGTCGCCGCCCCTCGCCCCTGGCCACTCGCAGCACAGCCCCTGAACAGCCCCCTGAACAGCCCCCTGGGCAGTCCTTTGAGCAGCCCGCGCGGTGCTGTGAATTGCAGCAACTCAGCACGCACCCGACCCACCCTGCCCAGTCCCCACTCCCAGCTGTCTCCGCGTAGCAACCACATGCCGCCGCCTGCTGTGTTCTCTTCCCGTATTGGGAAGTGTGAGCAGCAGCAGGCAGCGCGTGGCAGTGAGGGTGTGGCAGCGCTGCTGTCAGAGGGCAGCAGCCAGCACACGCCACGCAGCCCGCGGGCGCCCAGCAGCCGCGCTCCCTCTACCAGCCCACGCGCACAGGGCAGGCATGTGAAGACTGGCAGCATGGACTGCACGAGCGCAGCGCTGAGTGCCCCCAGCAGCCCACTGGGCAGCCGAGCACCTGATGCCTCAACCATGCGTGCACCGGGAGGCCCAGGGAGCAGGGCGCTCGCCCCGGGGCAATTATCCTCGCGCTCTCCCAAGCACTTCAACAGCTGCCATGCTGCTATTGGCCCTACCAAAGGAGGCAGAGCTGGGGTTGGGCAGAGTGGCAGTGCGGCAAGAAGTGGTGCCACGGTTGGGTGCAACGGATTATGGCGGTGGTGGTAGTGGGCAGCAGGCAGAGGGGCGTCATGGTGGGAGTGGGGCAGTGGAGCGGAGTGTGAGCGAGCAGCACCACACTCACCACATGCGCCCTACTGCAACCACCCTGTCGCCTCAGTCAGATGTGCCTCAGGCCATAAAGAGGCGCCACACGTATGCTTCCACCCCCACCCTCGCCATCCCTGTGCCCCTGCCCCAGCTTGGCCCCAACGCCTGCCCTCCCCCTCTTAGCCCCACGCTGAGCAGTACAGCAGGCAGCAGCAAGGGGAGCAGGAAAGGGGACGGGAGGCAGGGGAGGCAGAGGGGAACTGGTGTGGGCAAAGAGGAGGGCGGTGTTGACGTTGTTACGGCTGCTGCAGTTGCTGTTGCTGCTCCCAGTGAAGAGCAGACGGTGGAAGGGACATCAGATGCCAAGCGCAGGTGAGAGCAGGGGTCTGGTGCTTGCCCTTGTCACCATCGCCTTTTGCCACTGCCATCTGTATGCCCACGTTCAATACCTTCGGGGCATGCTTGGTGCATGGATGGTCATCACTGAGTTTTGACTCTCCTCGTGTGTGTGTGTGTGCGCAGGTTTCGAAGAGAGCTGTCCTTAAGTGGGTACTTGAGCAGCGGGTAGGCTAGACGTGCACCAACGCATGTCAAGGCACCCACCCACCCACGTGTGTCCTGTGTGGGACTAGGATTTGCTTGTAGTAGGTAGACTGCTCTGGGACTGCCAAGTGCAGAGTTAGCACCTCTAGTACAGGCCGCGCCCGGCAATGTGAAGGCGATGATGCATATACATCACTTGTGTTGCCATTTCAACAGGCTGCAAGGGACATGCAAAGGGTTAGCTAGCTTTCATCTTGTTTCAACATCCCCATAGGGTCAGAGCTGCATCTTTATCGCTCCGTCACACCTGGAACAGGTGCCATTAAAATGCGCATGCGAGGAACTTCATACAAACGTACAAACCCATACGAATGCCGCTGCCGGTTGCATCCGACTCACGCCTGAGCTAGCAGCAAACGCGCATGGCACTAGTGGTGTGGGGTTGCGTGTCTGAGCAGGCCCAGTTCATTGCCTATCAGTCGAAATATGATGGCACACAGGTTGGACAGGTCTGCATCCCTGCACCAGCCATACAGGGGAGCATAGGAGTGGATGCATCATTGTAAGGGAGAGATGGGAGCATGGGAGCATGGGAGCATGGGAATGGGTATGGGCATGGGTATGGGAATGGGTATGGGAGCACTGGAATGAGTATGGGAGCATAGAAATGCATACGAACAATCGGGAAAGTGTCTGGGAGCATGAGGAAAGGGTTTGGGTAACATGGGGAGTGGGGTGAGGTGGGTGGAACACAGATGAGGCAGAAAAGCAACAACTGCCATGGAGATATTGCTACAGATGCCACTTACACGCAAAGACAGGGGGTTCTCTGAGGTTTCCGAGTTGAAAGGGGGGGAGCGGGAAGGGGGACGGGGGGGAGTGTGGAAAGTGTACCGGAGGAAGACGAGGTCGCAGAGGGGCGAGTAGAGCAGCAGCAGGTGCGCTCTCTGCCACCCCAGCTGCCGCCCCTCGCTGTCCACAAACCGCGGCTGCGCTGTCCCGCTCCCACGCCCGCTCCACCTCACCCCTCGTGAGCGTGTCCCGGCTGCTGCTGCCTGTGCTGTGACGTGCGCCTCGGCACCTTGGGTGCGATGGGCACGTCTACTGCGGCAGCGACGAGGGGGTGCAGCACGAGGCGCACCAGCTCCTGCAGCAGCAGCAGCATCTCCGCCAGCCGCACCGCCGGCATGGCTGCTGAGCCTGCGCGCGCACACACGGGGACAAGGCACAAGGGGCAGGCAGGGAGAATATGGTCGAGAAGGCAGGGCAGAGGGAGAGTGGGAGACAGTGAGGGGATGCAGGGGCGCATCTGAGCAGGGAAGGATGAGGAGGCAAGTCCGGAGATATGCTTGCAACCCCGTGAGCTACTCGTGTGCGGCGATCAAGTGGTGAGGCAGGTGTGTGTGCGGTGGCCACCTGCTTGCAGGGAGTCTTGAGTAAAGCAGTGCAGGATGGCATGGCAGCGCGCCACGAGGCGAGGCAGCACCAGCCGCCCCACCGCCACCGACGACGATGCCAGCGTGTCCTCTGGACGGCCTTGCCTGGCCACATGCATGCAGGCGCCACGTGGGGGGGGGGAGGGCACTTGCCACATCAGTTCAGGGATGCACGTGGCATGTGAAAGCAAGGGTATGTGTTGAGTGCATTGAGGGAGATGCCATGAGTGGAGCACG